AGTAAGGCTGTTGATGTGGTCTACCTGGACTTCAGTAAAGCCTTTAACACTGTCCCCACAACATCCCCATAGGGAAACTGGCTGCCCATGGTTTGGATGGGCATATGCTCTGCTGGGTGAAACACTGGCTGCATGGCCAGGGCCAAAGAGTTGTGGTCAATGGAGTTAAATCCTGTTGGTGGCCAGTCACAAGTGGTGTCCCCCAGGGCTTAGTACAGGGTCCACTCCTATTTAACATCTTCATTAATGATCTTGATGAGGGGATTGAGTATAGCCTCACTAAGTTTGCAGACAACACCAAGTTGGGAAGGAGCATTGATCTGCCAGAGGCACTACGGAGGGACCTGGATAGGCTGTATCGATGGGTAAAGGTAAACTGTGAGTTTCAGTAGGGCCAAGTGTCAGGTCCTGCGTTTTGGTCACAGCAACCCTACAGGCCTGGGGAGGAGTGGCTGGAAAGCTGCCTGACAGAAAGATACCTTGGTGTACTGATGGACAGTTGGCTGAGTATGAACCAGCAGTGTGCCCAGTGGCCAAGAAGGCCAGTGGCATCCTGGCTTGTATCAGGAATTGTGTGGTGAGCAGGACTAGGGAAGTCATCCTGCTCCTTTACTCGGCCCCATGCTGAGTAATGTGTTCAGTTTTGGGCACCTCAGTACAGAAGGGTCACTGAGATGCTGGAGCAGGTCCGAAGAAGGGCAACCAAGGCTTGTGAAGGGCTTGGAGAATATGCCCTATGAGGAGCCACTAAAGGAACTGGGGCTGTTTTAGTCTGGGGAAGAGGAGGCTGAGGGGAGACCTTACTGTTCTCTTCCAATACCTGAAAGGGGATTGCAGTGAGAGCAGGGTTGGTCTCTTCTCACTGATGACAGGACGAGGGGAAATGGCCTCAAGTTGTGCCAGGGCAAGTTTAGGTTGGATATCAGGGAAAAATTTCTTTACAAAAAGAGTTGTTAAGCACTTGTTGAGTTGAACTAGGCTCCTATTACTGAGTTGTAATAGGCTCCCCAGGGAGGTGGTTGAGTCACCATCCCTGGATGTGTTTAAGACTGTTTGGATGTGGAGCTCAGGGACACGATTTAGTGGTGGGTTGTTAGGGTAGTGTGGTTGAACTTGATGATCTTTGATCTTCGCCAACCTGATCAATTCTGATTCCATGATCTTAGTGACCTTTTATGATGGAGTCACTGCATCAGCGGACAAGGGAAGAGCTATTGATGTAATCTGTCTGGACTTCAGGAAGGCTTTTGACATAGTACCCCACAACAACCTCCTCTCCAAATTTGAAATGTGGACTGTTCAATGGATGAAGAACTGGCTGCAGGATCAAGTTCAGTGTGTGGTGGCTGAGATGGAGATCAGTAATGAATGGTGTTCTGCAGGGGTCATTGCTGGAGCTGATACTCTTTAATATCTTCATCAGTGACATTGACGGTGGGGTTGAGTGCGCCCTCAGCAAATTTGCTGATGACACCAAGCTCTGGGGTGCAGTTGATGCACCAGGGGGATGGGATGCCACCCCGTGGGACTCAGGCTTGAGCAGTGGGACCAGGTGAACCTCATGAGGTTTAACGAGTCAAAATGCATGGTCTTGTGCCTGGGTCAAGGCAACTCCCACTACCAACACAAGCTAGGGGATGAATGGATTGAGTGTATCTCTGCTGAGAAAGAGCTGGGAGATACTGATGGGTGGCAGCTGGACATGAGCCAGCAGTGTGCCCTTGCAGCCAGAATGCCAGCCATATTCTGGGCTGCATCAAAAGAAGCGTGGCCAGCAGGAGGAGGAAGGTGATCCTGCTCCTCTGCTGTGTGCTGCTGAGGCCTCACCTGGTGAACTGTGTCCAGATATGGAGTCCTCAGTGCTGGTGAGACATAGACCTGGAGCATGTCCAGAGGAGGACCACAAAAATGATCCGAGGGATGGAACACCTCCCTGATGAGGACAGGCTGAGAGAGCTAGGGCTGTTCAGCCTGGAGAAGAGAATGCTCCGAAGTGACCCAATAATGGCCTTTCAGTATCTAAAGAGGAACTACAGGAAAGAAGGGGGACAGACTCTTTAGCAGAGTCTGTGGTGACAGAATGAGGGAAAATGGTTTCAAGCTTAAAGAGGGTTGGTTTAGGTTAGATACAGGGAAAAGGTCTTTTGCAGTGAGGGTAGTGAGATACTGGAACAGTTGCCCACAGGTGTGGTTGATAGTCTGTCCCTGGAGACTTTTAAGGTGAGCCTGAATCAGGCCCTGGGCAACCTGATGTAGCTGTGCATGTCTCTGTTCATTGCAGGGGAGCTGGACTAGATAACACTGAGAGGACCCTTCCACCTCTAAGGATTCGATGGTTCTGTGAGAAGGTGTGTCAGAAGCACAACAGGGCATTGCACTGTGTTGCACATACAATTCCCAGTTTAATTACATAGTAGGAATGACAGATGTAGAAATAGCCAGGCAGTTCATGGTCACCTCACTGTAATGCAGGAAAGGCAATGCCTTTCCTATTCAGCATGCTCTGGGGGAGGACAAGGCATATTCTGACAGAAGCCATTCACACTAACACCATTTGAGGAGAAGCATCTTGCTGCAGGAAGAAGTTAACCACTTTTGTGCCAGTACTGACTTGGCCAGTTCAGCTTCTCCAGTGGATTTAACTTCATTCTTTTTTTGTTTGGAAATTCCTGTCATGCCAACAGCTCATGCTTAAGGATGGTGATGTGCTTGAACTTGTAGTAGTGAGAAGGAGCTCATGCCAGAAGTGCATTAGCAGAACAGAGATTAAGTATGTAGTGAATTGTGCAGATCATGACAGAGTATTGTAAATAAGGCTGTGGAACAGGCCTGCACTGCCATGTATTTTGTATGTCCTCTCTATCACAGAGGAAGCTTCTTTGAAATTACTGAGATAAAGACTTAAACATTTTATTAGAACAGGCCCTTTGCCCGCCAACGCAGGTTATGAATCAAAAATCAGAGTTCAGGGACTTAAAAATACAACACAAAACCCACAAAAAACAGCTACACAGTGCTTAAAAGCACTGCTGAAACAAGTCTGGAACCAATTTTTCTATGAAAATGTTTTTCTATAAAAGTTCCATGATCTGAAAGCCATCTGGGCCTCAGAGGTTTAGAAATAAATGGAACATCCTGCTGGAACACTTTCAGGCTGCAACAGCTCTCCTGCAGGCCTGCAGAGCCATGGAACAGCAGACTTAGAAACTGTCAGACAAGGGCTTGGTACAACCTGTCATGGTCAGTGTCATAGCAATCTACAGGATGGGGAGGGTTTGAATGTCCAGGAGCAGGAATGTCATACCTGGAGGAACGGAGAAAACCTTTTTTGGTAGACCAAATTTGATTTATTTTTTTTTTCTTTAATACATTTTAAGGCATACCTTTGAAACTGCTAAGGAGTCTGCAATATTAAAATAGCTCTGCAGTGAGTAAGTTACTGAGCAGAATACTGATGAAGTGGTCAGAGAGGCACAGAACTTAACGCTTAGCATATGGGCCTGCTGATTATTCTCATCAGAAATAGAAGAACACAGGTTTTTCTTCATCGAGGGGAAAGTTACACTAGAAGTTGCTAGTTTAATGTTTTTGTAACACACCACCTCTTCTGTACTCTGCTCTGTTCTTCTGTATTCGTTTTGTGTTCTGCCATCTGGGAATGGAAGGCAGTCAAGAATGTTGTTGCAGAGTTTTCTGTGCTGTGTGAAGTTAATTAAGAACAGGGAATTTTCTACTCTTTATTCATTTCAATTTTTGCTTCTCCGTGGAAGGTGGGGAAGAAAACTGCGTGTTTAGGCAAGAATTCTGTTTTTGAAATAAATTACTTCTCTGCTTGTAAATAAAATAAAAAACTTCCTAATTTGGCATTAGAAATGTTGCTTAACTTTTACAATTTGAATTAGAAGTGCTGACAGAATGACAGCATGTAAATATAACACATCGGGGTTGTTGCAGGATTAGTGCTGATCAGTACTGTGTTAGATAAAGAGCAGATGTAGGTGACCAAATGCAGTTTTGCCCAATATGAAGTTGTTTAGGCTTTGCAGCTGTAGCACACACATGCACACACACAAAGCAGAGAATCACAATGAAAAAAATCATGAGCATCACTGGAGAATTAACAGGAACAGAGCAACATGGAATGACTGGATGGTGAGGAGAAAGAGCGGAAGTGTTTTAAGACTGGCATGTTATGGGCACTTAGACTGGTCACAAAGATCCCAACACGCAGCTTGTCAGCACGCTCAGGGTGGTGAACAAAGGAAATGAGTACAGCCTAAGTCACAGAGGTGGGACAGGATGAGGAGACTGATCAGAGCTCACTCCTAAAGGGCACAGAAGGACACTTCTAAGCTTGGTGATGGAGCAGCCAACTCAAGAACAACGCAGGTAAGAGGACAAGAACAACGTAGCTAACATACCTTGTCATCCAGTGTGTTGCAGAACATTTCTGACAGATCTCCTCCATACAGGCACTGTGGTGCCTGAATGCTGGGCACTCATGGATCTTGCTTATTTTGAGTGTGTGCCTAGGGTTGTGCATGCAGTGAGGAAATTTTAATAGCCACTGTTCCCTCCTGTGAAATTTCCCAATGACACATGCAGCATTGTGCAAACTGGCACTGCAGAAACAAGCACTGCAACATCCCAACATTACTGTCATTTCCTGCTTTGATCTTGAAAGAGGCATAATGCATTTTTGTACTTTGGTGAAACAGTGAAGAGCATAAAACTGCAGATTAATACTTAATTGCTTTACAATCAGCAACTGCAGTATTTTTCTAAACTTCAAGGGAGGGGTAGGTGTCTTCAACATTTTCAGGCCTATTATGGCTCCTTCTGAAGCAAGCAGTGAGACCTCTGCTCAGTGACAGTATCCTAATCCCAGATGGGTCGTTGTTCTCTGTCAGGCTGCTAGTTCATGTTCCCAGGAGATACCACCTTGAGTGCTGCACTCAAGCTCCCCTGTTCCTCAAGGTGTGATGGACATAATGTACCAGTGGAATTTAAAAAAAAGAAAAGAATTTATTGTTGCTTTGCAATATAAAAAGAATAAATCCATAATTACAAAGTCAGAGGCATAAGAGAGCTGAATAAAAGGAATGTGACATAACAAAGCAAAATCTTAAAACAAAGAAACAAACAGAATCTTGTCTGAATGCCTTTTCTTGTGATACACCCCTTCCACAGCTCCATCTCAAACTGGCATTAATGGAGCCTGCTATAAGTCCAGTGCTAGGACAGCTGGAAAGAATGGCACACAATCATTTATACTCCGGTAAAGGACTGAAATTTTAATCCATAGAGATGTAAAGGATACAGAGTAAAAAGGGCTGAAGTGGAGAGCCCAGACAGCATTCTGCACTGCAGAATAACATAAGTATGGGTATGGTGTCTTTGTGCCACTAAATACAGCACACTTCCAACCATTTCTTTTTGGGGACATGGATGCTGGCAGTGTTCACAAGGAGCATGTGTGCTAGGCTGAGGCAGGATCTCAGAAGGAGCTGCATGAGGGGACAACCTCATCACAGGCATTTTTGGGGAAGAGGGGCAAAAGACCCAAACAGCTGCTGAGCTTCCGCTCAGAGTTCTCACACATGGAAAGCCACCAACGCATAACTGGAAACAAAGCTGTCCATATTGGTTTTATGAGCTGTTCAGACTATTCTATAACCTGAGAATGCACCAAGCCAATTAACTTCAAGGGATGATTGAGTAAAATCTTCCTTCCCTGCCTGGAAGTGAGATCTTAAAACATCCATTTACAGTCCCTCCAGGAAGGGAGGCATTTTAGTACCTAACAGGTGATTCTGCTAGCAGTGAAGTTTCAGCAGTCCCACTGGGTAAGGACGTAAGCTGTGACCTCTATTTTCTCTGAACTCACTCGTCTATCTTTGCATTTTCTGGGCCTTGCAGTGCCTGACTGAAGATGAGCTTTTTCAGCTGATCCAATTTGTCGTCTCTTAAGGCATCTCGGATGGCACTGAAGAAGCTGAAGTAGTGCTGAAAGTTGTGCATCATGAGCAGGACCCCAGCCAGAAGCTCATTGCTCACAAGGAGGTGATGGAGGTATGCGCGAGTGTGCCTCTGACAACAGTAACAGCTACATCCTTCCAGCAAAGGACGAAAATCATCATAGTATCTAAGGAGGGAGACACATTTGGTTACATCAACAGTCAGACGACTCACTCAGGTAACAAAGACTATCTAGTTACTCTATGGCCTCTACATGGACCTGAGCCCTGAGGGCTGGAATCTAGTTTCTTTAAGACGTGCTGCATCTAAGCCCGACACAAAGGACTCTTAAGAGCATTCAGGAACTCACTATGGAGCCAAGAAGCCACACAATTAAGTCAGAAGATAATTCTGACTGCATCACCACTAACAGTAGCAAGAAGGCTTATCTGCACCTTCCCTCACAGAAAAGCTGCAGCTCAAGACTCACCGTGTCAGCTATCAGTCTGCAGAGAAGGAAGCTACCAGAAACAAAGATTCACAGAATAGTATTCCCTGCTACTGTGAGATGCACTATGCTCACAAAGTGGGCAGAGAATGGAACAAATCAACACAGTTGATTAATAAGCTGTAAAAAAAACAAAACAAAACAACAACAAAAAAAAAACAGTTGAAAAATAGTGTTTCATAGCTGAGAATTTGCTCTTCAGTGTTATTCTGCTCTCTGTTGTAGTTTCCATGGAAATAAATAGGAGGCATTACTTTTGGAGTGACCTGTGTACCTTCTGAAAATGACTCAAGTTAATTAGATGCAGAAGAACAAAATGATCCTCAGACAGCTTTTGTCACACTAGTTTTCCAGCTGGAACATTGCTGTGGCCACAGTATTTCTGCTGGATAAGCAATCTGAAAATCTCTGGCTTTAGATCAGAGAAATGATAGCACTTTCAGCTATCTTTCATACACTGCTCTGTACATCAAGCTAAAATGACTACCTGACACTTAATTCAATGTCTAGGTCTACTTTACTTCCTCCAGTGGTTTTGCATTTTATGAAGTTTCCCATCCAGCTACTGACAACATGAAAATATAGAGGACAAAAACCATAGTATTCCCTGGTACAGTTGCAGGTTCCTTCCTCACAAATATAAATACCTTTTCTCCTTCAGAAATATCTCAAATGGTGTCATTTCTGGGTCAACTTTGACAACCTCCTCCTCGTCTTCTTCAGTACCATTTTTCTCCAGGTCCTGGGCCCCATTTTGTTTTAAAGCTGCTATGAAACAAAAAGACAACAGCTTTTTATCAACAGGTCAGCAAGAGCACAGGGAGGGTTGTAATATCCTACATTAGAGTATTTCTGCCACTCTCTTGCCAAAAGAAAAAACTCTTGCCACAAGTTTCCACTTCCTTCCTATGGTAAGCAAGCATTTTTCTTTAATTATCATAGATTAGTTAACAAAAATAGAATTTCAGATTATTAGAACAGCAAGAGACAAGTGAAAACTCATCTATCAGACTTAATGAAGAGTTAGAGCTGAAATAACAGCACAAGTTTGTGCTGCTCTGCTGAACTGAATTCTTAATAAAATGTTTCCAGTCTGAACGGCATGCTGACTAGAATGCAGTCACCTGAACAAATTGATTTTATTGGGATTTTGTTGGAATAAACAGGCTACTGATCTGCATTCAATCATTCTACTTTCCATTCTGTCACCCAACTCAAAGATTTAGATTTCTTTTTTCTTAAACAATTGAAACAAAAGAAGCTGATAGCACTGACACAGGAGATGTAGATTCCATATGTGTATGTTCACAGTCTACCTTAAAACACCCCATAATTTTGTAGGTTGGCATTTTTGTTGTCGAGCAGGAGATGTTTCTGGAAACATCAGTAATATTATTTTTTGCACAATCCACATCTAGTGAGTGTTGCATAGGAACAGAACAAAGAGGTTATTCCTACCCGTAATTTCTTTTGGTTTAGTAATAAGATGAGATGAGGCAAACAACAACAAACAAAGAGAATGGTTTAAAAGAAAAAAACTGACAGCAAACAGAAGGAAACAAGATGTTCCTTCTGTTCTATTTATCTGGTTTTGAATTATCCAGGCATGAAAAGAAACCAAGTTCCACCTAGGAAGAAAAATGTAAAACGTTTTTTTTTCTTTTTTCCATATTAAAAACATTTACTGAGTCCAAAACAAGACGACTGCTTGAAGAATGTTTAACAGCTGCTTTAATGGTTGCTATGCTTGCTCCTCTCTCACAGCCCAATGAGGTAATGCACTATGAACATCTTGGTTCTGTTCTCATATGAATACACAAACTGAGAGGAAAGCTACCCAGAGAAACAGCATCCCTAACTTTGGTCAGCTATAAAGGAAAAGGACTTCAAAATAAACTTTAAAAACAAACAAACACATACTCAGTTAAATGTAGAAATCGAGTATCATAGTAGAATTCCATATGAATTTGCCCAGCCTGCACCGCTAGCACTAACAGAAACATTTGTAAATGGTGTCAAACAGAGGACAGATACACAGTTCAGTCTACAGAAACAACTGTGTTCAGTGTTAGAGAAATCATTATGCACATTTTGCCTAAGCAGACATTCAAATCTTTGGCTTAAATCAAGGACAAAAGAACCCTCAAAAACAGATTCTTCCAAAGCATGAATTATGCTTGCCACACTACCAGCTGATACGGACACATCCTACCTGCTGCTTTGGGATCTGAATGGTAATCATAGCCAAACACCAAGGCACAGCCTCGCTCCGTCACCTGGAAGGGAAAGAAGCTCTCAAAGATGTCCACTCCCCTTTCAATGCACTCAAGCACCTCATCTGGTTTGCCCACACCGTGGATGATTCTGTAAGAGATGCATAAGAAGATAAACCTGAGAATATCCCAAGCAGAAGCAAACAGATATCTCAAGGAAAAGAGGCATGTGGAACACATATAGGTTAACCTTGGAACTGCTAAACACAAATCAAGTGCATACAACAGTCTATCACTCCAAGCCCTGCACAGCTCTATTTCCACACCCCTAACCAATCCAGTACACAAGAGGCTTTTCCTCCTTTGCCATTCAGAAGACAGCACAAACACTCATTTACCAAGAAAAATCTCATTCCGCTCATGTTTGAAGTGAATAAAATACATTTATAAAATTCACCTAACAGCTATGTTTTAGAACAGATATTTTCCTTAGTCATATTTCTGCCCTAAATAGCTACCAGGTACCAGATACACTGACCTCTTTACTCGGTAATTGCTCAGGAAACAATTTGAAAGGACTTGGCCTAGACCAGCAGAAACAGCAGATGATGTTTCTAGCAGTATACAGTTCTCTAGCATCTCAAGAACTGCCTGGAGCAAAATGCACTAAGGAGAAACATAACTGGAAATAGAAAGAAGTTCCTTGCTTTTTTCTTCCTTCCTCTCCACACTCTTCCTAGTCAAGCCTACCTTTTCACCCTCACTGATACCCTTTATTCTATAAATGTCTCTGATTCACCCAAACAAATGACTGTCAAAAAACTGGGCAGTAACATCCACTGGGATACAATATGAGACAGGAACAGCCCAGCTGGATTGCCATCAGTGGTAATAGGAATCCTGCTGTTAGCCAAATTTAGCTGGCAGCTTCCTTGAGGGCTGGTGAAGCAGAGGAGAACAGAGTGATTCCTGCTCTCCTGCAGGTGCATGGCTGGGCTGAAGGCAGTAAAAGCTAATGTAGGGCAGTGATCTAAACAGATAATTAGAAAAACACACAGGGGCTGATAAATGAAGTCACAAGGTGCCATTTTTAGTCACTTTTCTAAGTACCTGAATTAAATTGATGAGCAAAGAATATGGATGGGGAACGATTTACTGCGGAGCGTCTTCTGCTTCAGGCTCTTATGAAAGGGAGAAACTGATGTTCAATAGCTAAAGCAGTAGTTCTGCATGTGTGATCAAAACCCTTGCTAGAATTTAAATTTGTACAGACAAGAACAAAAGTTTGTTCTTGCAAGGGTTCCACCCCTACTAGAAAAAAAGAATAAGAGATTTCTACAACCTTAGGTTCCTGAAAGGACCCTAAAGATCACATTCATGACATCATTTCACTAACACAAAAAGCAATTCCTTCTCAGGTGAGGGTGAGAGTGTTTGGCTTCTGGAGGATTTCGCATTAGAGTGGAAGACAGCTGCAAAACAGCTTCTCCAGCCAGAACAGCAAGGGTGAAAGCAGGACTGTCTGACACTCACTCAAGGTACTTACAAGACCCCAGAGGCGAACCAGCTTTCTTCTTACATAGGGGTCACAAACACTTGTCTTACTCAGACAAGCAAACTATTTGACAAATGAGGTTACCTGAGCAGATTGGACTTAATGCTCTTGGGATCTTTTTAAGTAGTTAAACCAGACAAGATGGCAACAACACAGCAAGGCTTCTAGTTGTCAAGGAAATTCAAACCCTGGGCACCCCTTAGCATGAACAAGCTGCAGCATGACAGCACTTTCACATCCTTTCTTTTGAACACCACCTGTTCAAACCAATGCTCAGATAGCAGAGGACAACACAGCTACAGAAAAACTAAGGGGCCCTTGTCATTCCCTTCAGGAAATGATTGGGAAAAGTCAAGAATGATGAAACTACTCTGTAGACTCTGACATGGATCAATCAGGTGGGCATAACCAACAACACAGAATATACTACAGTTCCCACACTATACCAATCCAGAGAATGCAGTCAATCCAGAGAATGCAGTTTCTCTTGTCCAGGCTGATTGAGCTCTGGTAATTTACAGGCTCAGCACCTTAGGTACTAGGTCAGAGCCTGCTGGTCATGTAAGCACTTCTGTCAGCACCCCTCTCTACTCTTCTCCAACTTAGCCTGGAGAACTGCAAACCTGACCTTTTTTCTTAGAAGTCCCTGTAGAATGAGTTGATAATTTTTGTTCTAGCTGAACCTACAGTAAACCATGGCCTCAGAGGCCAAATGCAAACAAGTTCAGACAATAGCCTAGACATATCCCATCTATAATTTTTCCTCAAGAAAGCAAAGAAGTCCTGAACTCAAATTTGATGATGTGGGGAATGCTCATATCTAGAACATGAACACAGCTTGGTGTCAGTTTCAACTGAAAATTGAAACAACAGTTGAAGCCTGCAGCCTGACCGTGGCCTGGCACACACACACAGCACTGTGCAAGAGGGTGACTATTTCTCACAGTGATATTGCACAGCAGCCTTGTAAAAAGATGGGTGAACTTCTTGGGATGTCACCCATATAACTTACCTTGGCTTATCCTCTGGCAGCTCTGCTGTCACAGAAGAAATCAGGTTCAATTTGGTCTCCTTTGCCATGGCATGTCCCTGGAAGCCATCTAACAGAAAGCCACCCACGGGTCTCTTGGCAGTCTCCCTGGCTGATCTGAGCCTCTCTTCCAAGACATCTCCACCTTCAATTGTCCCAAACATTACACTTCCTTGTAGTTCCTGGCTCAGAAGAAAGCAACAAGCGTTAGAGAGTTCTGCCAAAGACATGCAGGATCTCACAGCACAGACTACAGATGCTTGCTACCTAAACCATGCATTCACAGGAACTTGGAAGAGCCACAGTGATTCATCCTATGTAAGATAAACCCTCAAATGATACTGTGAAGTCCAACTGGGAGGTAGAAAGGAATTAGGAGAGAAAAGATTCTGTTTCCAGCCTCAGCACTAATTCACTGAGAATTTCAGATCCATTCTTTCCACCTCCCCACAGAAAGTAATAACAACAGATGATCTTTGTACACAGCTTTTTGGAGGTGTCCCCTCAGCACTCCATGTCAGTCCAGAATACAAAGCATGTTAAACCACCTTGGCTGCCAGACAGCAGAGCTCACATTCTATTGCCCTTCAGGAGATGATAGTATTGGTTCCTGCAGCCACTTTCCTTTGTAATGCACACCTGAATAATTTGTTCCCTTTCACCAAAAGGGAAGGAAGTTTTAAACCATCTGGAGAAAATAAATGATAGAACTGGCAAATTCTGGCAAGTCCTCCTTCACCTGGAATTGAACAGATTTCAGGGGAAAAAAAAAAGACTTGTCTCAATCTGAATGAGAAGATCCTACTTTGCCAGAGTACACAGCATGAAGGAAAGTGAAAAGAAATGCATTACAGTCCAAAAGCAGAATAATATAAAAAATAGAATTCTCTCAAACTAGTAGAAATTGTTGTTTTGTAGCTGGAGACAAGTTATTAAGAGAAGAGAAAGGCAGAAGGAAATCCCACAGTGCTACTGATCTTACCTCCTCCAGGACTTTCACCTGCACATCCTCTGATATATATGTGTGACAAGATCTCCTACTAAATCACATCCTGGAACTGGCACACAGTGCAGCATAGGCCAAAAAGCAGCTGCAGTGCTACAGTCTTGACATCTTTGGGACCTTACCGGTGCCTTTTCCAGCAGCTGAAGGCATACATCCAGGAAGGAAAGCGATCTGTCCACAGACTTCTTGGCCCTTTTTCTAGTAACTTCTCCAGAAATAGTGTCTCCATCAGCAATGCACTGGAACCAGTCAGGCTGGATAGCCCGCTGTATGTCCATGAACTTGGAAGCTGTCATTTCCATGCGTCCTGAGCTGCCCCACAGGGACACTGTCTGTCAAGAAAAGAATAGGACTGAAAGACCATGCAAAGGTTAACGGATCTCAAGTGGCAAAGGAGAGAAGTCTGATGAAACACCAGATACTGGAAAGACACTGAAGAGATAAGTTCTACAGCAGCATGGCTCAGATATTCAGTTCTCCTTGATACAATGAGTGAATGAGAAACGACGAAGTTGGGATTTCCAGGATACTCTTCATGAAACCATCAAACACATGTAGCACAGCAACTCCTCAAGGTGTTTGGAAGTCTCTGACATGGAACAGCTGGCCTTATCACTCAAATTAGTGGCAGAATTGGAAGAAAAAAAAAAATGAAAAGAATTATAGATTTAGGTAATTCCGTTCCTGCACAGGGAGAGGACTCAGGCTGGTTCCTAACAGCAAAGAATATGCAGTGGAAAAAACTACATGGTGAAGCTTATCCTGCCATTCATGATAAGTTGTCATATCCAAGCAGGATCCAGAACTGACCAGATGTAAGCAAGTACCAGGAATTGCCCCTCCAGGCCAGTGCCACAGCAACCAGTATGTACCATATGTACTGTGTGGGAAATTGATACATCTCTAGGATGGAACTGGCAAAGGCTCACAAGGCTCCTGGGTTACTGACATCTCTTCCTGCAGAAATACTATGTTCTTTCCTTCTGTGGGTTTGTATCAGACTGTAACTACAAAGACAGGGTTGCAGGTTTACTGCAATCAGTGCAGTGGCATCACTGCAAGCCTGTTCAGCACGTAAGCCAAAATGCATGATTTTTCCTTTACTGCCATACTAACAGCACAAGATTCCAGAGATCTCTGCCCTGTCTGAATCATCTCTTAACTGCTCCGGAAAGAGACTTCCAGTAAGGAAATATCCAGATTTATTTAGTTGGAGCTATGAGCACACAAGCGTCACTTTTCTTACTACAGAGAGTTCTTTTTCTATACAGTGCATGAACATCATCTTGTTGCTTTCCAGACACATCCACACAAATGTGGGGACAGACTGGCAGCTCTTGTTTGGTAACTTTAAGTGGGTTCTTTCAAGACTTTACAGTTACTGTACCTTGTTGGTGTTGTAGCCAGAAGGACAAGGAGCAGCTGGATCTTGAAGGGAGCAGTACAGCACTGTATCTGGCATACCTGGGAGCAAAGCAACAGAGAAGAGCTTCATGAACCAAAACAAGGCTAATGTAAAGGGATGGTCTACGAATTTGCAAAATGGAATATGTTTTCCTCCCACAAACAATCTCACAATCCTCCTCTGCAGTTCTTCTACAGGACAGATAAAGAAAAATACTGCTCAATTGATCTCTCAGTACCAAAGAAGGTAGCCAGACTTCTTCCTCAGCTTTACCAGCTGCAGGGAACAGAGCACAGTACTGGGATGAAACAGGAAACAACAGCCATTGTTTCTGCAAGCTGCACAGCCCCTTAGATTTTTTTTTAATTATTTCTTCTTGATTAACACACCCACTACTAAAATTTGCCAGACACAGTAGCTAACTCACTTGACAACTTGACAGGTACACTGGGAGACATCCGACAATCTAAACAGAATAACAGCCTCAAGCCTACTATTGTATAGGAAAGACAACATACTGTGGGAGATCAACTACAGAAATGAGAGCCTCATCTCTGCTAGACCAGAGGTTTCTAATGTCATACATAAAGCTTGTATGTCTTAATGCCACAGTTTTCTCTTCGCAGACAGGCACTGAAATTGGTAAAGTCTCCAAGAAGTTTCAGATAGAAGGGACTTACGATTGTTCTGGATGGAATAAGCAGTCCCAAGACAATTATCAAAAGCTGCATGTAAATCTCCTTTGGAAATCCAAGCCAAAGCTCTGCTATGTAATGAAATAAATGTCCAAAATCTTGAAGTACCTTTTTTTTTTTTTAAAGAAAAACAAACTCTGTCCAATAGATTTCTATCTTAACAACTGTCAATGTTACTGAAATTAAATAGACATTCAACCACTTCAACAGGATTTACCATATAGCCATTATAGCCCTAGATACCTGGACAAATCATCCCAGTAAGCCTGATGGTAGCTGATCACCCTACCATTCTTTGAGTTACCTTCCCAGATAGAAATACTTTGAATGTTCATTCAAGATGCCAACTCTGCTTTCACTGCACTCTCAGGTTCCTATACCACCTGAGTCCAAAAACAGTGATCTCGGTGATGCACTGCATGTGGGCAGTCCTTTAGCAGTCCCTAATGACTGACAGGGAAAAAACCTACAACTGTTGCATGCACAGAAACCATGGTCTGTGCTCACTCTTAGCACCAAGCTAAAGGTTTCATTCATGAACTGCTCCAGTAATAGAGGGACTGATAAAAACTACAGAGGCTCAGTGCAGTAACGGAGGACTGCAGCAACACTTACTTCATATTCCAGCTTACTTGGATGTATTCCTAAAAGCGACCATTCAGCATGAAAAAATGGAAGGCGAATGGATCAGTGCAAGTACAATCTGACAAACTAAAAGGAACAAAGAACAGGAGGAAAACTGATTTCCAGCTGCTCATTTAGTTTCTCAGAGCTCCTGCAAATCCAACACGGCCCCTTCTCTCAGAACAAGATTAGTTTAGAGGCAGAAGCATTCACTCAATGAGACTGATTTGACGTAGGGTGTTTTGTCTGTTCCTCATAATGGATGAAGATTTTTAAATTTTCTTCTTTAATTAATCTTCATGCCGGATTAAAACTTTCTGTTGGGCTTAAATGAAACCAACTGCGTTGTGATAACCAAAAAATGGCAGCGCTTATTAGAAGATGGATACTCTCAGAGAATCATTTAGACAGCTGCAGGAGAAGGTTATTTTCAAGGCAATGTTCTCCTCACATGACTAGTTAGAAATTGCACTTCGCAAGATCCTTTTGTAGCCCCCCCAACTGACAGTGGCTACTGTAACTTCTCTCTCAGTTTTAGTTGCAAATTTTGACTTGGGCTCATTCTTGCCAGTGTTGAAAATTCTACGGCAAAGATTAGGGGAGAAAAAAGTAAAGCAGAACTACATATTCTCACGCTCTGTTTGATGGATTTCTGGCCCTACTGTTGGCAACAAAATATTTTAAGTCCTCCTTAGATTCACTCTGACTGAGAGAATGCATAAATGTAGAAAGCCTGCACCTAAGTGTTTGCATCTCAAGACACACCAGTTAGATCCATCTCCCCCCAGACACGCATCGTCCCTCATTAGGTCTGAGTCTGTACACGTGGCTTGTAAGCACACAAGGTCAGAATTCACGTAAAAGCTTCGTTTTAATTCTGTGCAGAACTAGGAGCCTGGCAAGCCGCCATAAAGCAAGTACACCCCTGAATATTTACACGCCGCTGTTTACTGAACTTTTCCTCTCTGCAGTTTCTAATTGGTTATCTGTTCCATCTATTTTTCGTCACCCAGGTAACTAGTGAAATGATGGCAGAACAGCCTTCAGTTGCACCAGAACTGGTTCAGGCTGGATATGAGGAAACTTTTCAGGAGTGGTGAGCTGGTGGCACAGGCTGCCCAGGGAGGTGGTGGAGTGACCATCCCTGGAGGTGTTCAAGACCGTTGAGGATGTGGCACTGAGAGATGTTTTAGTGGGCACGGTGGGGACAGGCTGACGGCTGGAGTAAGTGATCTTAGTGGTCTTCTCCAAACTTAATGATTGCAGGATTCTAAAAGTCAGCTATGGGGCATTTCCCCTCGCCTTCTGCTGACAGCAGTTTGTCACACTGGACATGCTTGTGTCATACTGCTGCCTTCTCACACATACTCGTGATCGTTTCTGCTCCTCGTCCACACAGACTCCAAGCTCCCGGCAGCTATAAGCAGTAAACATCCGCACTTTACCTATAAACTTCGCCGCTCCCTCCTTGTACTCCTCCAGGACGTCGTGCAACTCGGCCCTGCAGCCAGACACAGAGACGCATTAGGCACGCGGGGCGCTGTAGCAGAGGCAGGCGCGGAGCCGCGCGTCCCGCCGCCGTTACTCACATGGTGGGCAGCGTGAGCTGTGCCACGGCAGGCACGCCGCCGACCTCGCGCAGCGTGTCGCGGGTGAGGTGCGGCGCCGTGCCGGTCCGCGTGTACAGCAGGCAGCCGGGCAGCGCCAAGGCGGCCGCCCCGCTCCGGCCCAGCCCCGCCAGCGTGCCCAGCCGCCCGCCCGCCGCCCCGCACAGCTTCACCCGCATCCCGAAAGCCGCAGCCGGCGGAGGAAGGAAGACGCGAGCCTCGCCGCTTCCCCCGCTTTCCCCAATCACCTCCCGCTACGGCATCGGCGAGCGACGGAGGGCGGGCGCCGAGTTGCCATGGCGGCGCCGCGGAGCACTGTGGGTCGGCGGGCGGCCATGGCGCTGGCGGGAGGGAAGTCGCGGCTGTTCCGCTGGCGGCGCCTGGCCGCCCCGACCGGCCCGCAGGTAACGGGCAGCGGGCTTCGCCGCCGGGCGGCCGCCGCCGAGCCGGGGCGGAGCGCGTTGGAGCGGCGGCGGCCAATGAGAGCGGGGAGCGGCGCGGGGACCGCCAGAGGGCGCCGGGTGGCCAAGGGGCTGCACCAACGACTCTAACGGGCGGAGCGGGGTCGGTGCTCGTGGCGGGCAGGTGATGCGCTTTGTATTTTGATGACTGTAAGGTTTGCTTTATCTTGTTTCCAGGCCAGGTTTGACTCCGACAGCGCGGAATACTGGATGAAGGTGCAGTAACTCAGCTGCCTTACGGGGGAGCTCGCCCGTAAGTGGGGTTTGCCCCTGCTCCACGCGGAGCCGTGGGTCAGGCAGAGCCGGCTGCTGAGCAGCGCTGCGCAGGGCAGGTGGAAGTGGCACCTGGAGCCTTTCTGCTGCTGCTTTGGCCATCTGATACCGAGGAGGATTGCGTGAACTCTTCCTGGCCGGCAATGGCTGTGACAAAATTTTCATTGCTGGTTGCAGGGCAGCAACGAGGCGAGTCCTCGTTCGACCCCCAGGGGGCTGGGTGTTTGCATTCCCCCAACGCGTTCTCCCATGGCTGTGATTGGCAGTAATTGCCAAATGAGCGCTTATCGCTTAATCATTTCTGAGTGAAATTTCTCCACTCAATCAAGAGCAGCTGCAGAAATGTGTTTCAAAAGGAATCTCTTTTAACGGCCATACTGCCTTGTGTGACAGCCCCACTGATGCTTGTTCTCTCTCGATGAATATACATCAACCCTTAGAAATGTTTCTTTAATTTAAAGAGAGTGGAGCAAGCCTCTGAGTATGCTGTTTCTGAAGCTTTTTCCCTTCAAAAGCCCAAGTACCTGCAAGGGCTTTGTGATCCTGCAGTGAGGCTGGAAACTACGGAACAGCTGCAAGAGCGCGATGAGGCATGTCTGGAAGGTGAGCCATATGCTGCCTAGGATGAACCCCTCTTGATGCAACACCCTGGTCTGGTGTGGACAGGCTGTTACAAAGCTGTAGACCAAGAGAAACAGTTGGCAGTAAAGATCTGAGCCTTTCATCTGAGGAGGAAAGGTATAAAAGAATCATTTGGTAGAGTTCAACATAGTTCAGTTAGTAGACTTAGAGGAGTGATGAGCTCCCCATCTCCTGGAATTTTCAGGTCGAGACGGGTGAATACTGCCTTTGAAGATCTGGTCAAATACAAGTTACTGGCCCACAGGAAACTGGATGAAATTAGCTGCATATTTTTGACAGCAGGCCAAATGTGAAAATGGATTGGCCCTGTGTGACTTCCCCATCTATGAATAATTGTGTGGGCTTGCTTTAATTCCCACGCAGTTTTGCTTACTAATTAACTATCTAAATACTCCCTTTGCACCATCTGCAGCCACAAGTGCTTACTGACATTTAAAATTAAAACTGTGGTACATTATAAAATGATTTCCCATCAATAGTGGAAATATATCTGCAGTGTAAAGAGCTGGTAGCGCTCTTGCTTTCCTCCTGTTTCCTTATTGTTTTTATTTGTCCTTCTATGCTCATTTTACTCAGTTTTTAATTTTTTAAAATAGCTATCAACCTCACTGGATTGTTCCAAGCACAACTGGAAGCCATTTATCTAGACTCTGTTATTAGAGTAATTAACAGTATTATCTACATGTATCTCAGTTTGCAAAGAAAGGTATAACTCCTCTGAATGATACACAGTTTTTCTCTCTTCTTTCTCATATCAGATTTACTTCCTTGTTCCTGAGCTGAAATGATGGATTACAAGAGAAAAAAAAAAGTGATTTGAAGGACAGTAAACACAGGATTTATTTTTTTCTAAAAAAAAAAAAAAAAAAAAAGTTATTCTTTTAAAAAAAGTCTTAAAAAGCATTTTTGCCTTTGAATGAGAAAGGTTTGCTTGGAATATCACCATTTTCACAGAATCACAGAATTGTAGGGGTCGGAAGGGACCTCCAGACATCATCGAGTCCAACCCCCCATTTTGAGTTAGAACTAGAGATTTAGAGCATCTGCTTCCTCTTTTTACACTCCTGTTATAGGTGTGCCCTGCACTGCAGCAGCTGGCAAGATTCCTGCCCTTTGCCCATCCTCACCGCATGGATGGTTCCACTAATGCAGCTGCTCCTGATGCCTTGTGGTTTACTGTGTTCTGCAAGTGCAGTGGTGAAACACTGTAAAGCTATCTGAGATATGAATTATTTTGTGTACATTTTCTCTCCTTGATGAATGGTATAATGATCACTGGGGTGATCTAGATGTCCAAAGAATCTTGTAGGAAAAAATGAGATGCAAAAGAATTCATTTGTGATACATGTGACAGGGAAGACGTTTGCCACCATCCTATTCTTTTATAGATCAAGAATATGAGAACAGAATTATTAGTCCTATTCCATTTTCTCTTGTAGATCAGCTTCCAGTCATTTTAGAATGTTTTCCGAGCACGTGATACAACTGTCCCAGGGAAAGAGTTTTGCTAGTTGGCACTTACCTGTATATTTTTAAAGTCATCAGTCTCTTTCTTTGTGATAGCCCGAGAACTGCTCAGTAACTGGACTAAGTCCAAACTGCAGCTGGAGCTGACAAGTGATGGAGAAGCAGAAGTTGACTCTGTCCTGGAAAATCCTACAGCCCTTCTGAAGTATAAGCGGTTTGATGGTGAGAGCACAGCAAAACAGCTCTTGGCTCGTTTGTAGAGGATGTAGTGGGGAAGGGAGATGGGGCTCATGGCTTCTGGACTGACAGGTGCAAGTCACGTTATGGGTGATGATTTCTCTCTCCCAGCTCTTAAAGCAGCTGGCCTTAGGGATGCCCAAATATACCTCATAAACATCTGATCACAGAATGGCCAGGGTTATGTCTCCCTTGTAAAAGAAATTATATTTCTGTTGTTTGTGGGTATGTTCAAGGCCTGTCAGATTTATACAGCAATTTGAGATGCTTGGAGGCAAGGCAGTAAAAAATGGACATAATGTTGTTATTGCTCTCGTGCATTCAGTGGAATACACTAGATTAATCCTCATTGGGGATACATGGAGTGCAGTCAGTATGTCTGCTTTCATCAGAAATGCACTGACAGTCTGGGAAAAGTGATCCCTTTAATTATATTAGGCTTTGTAATCTGATGCAGGGATTTATTCATTTCAGACTAGTTTGAGATCATCTGAATTCCTCATTTCAGACTTGTACAACTATCTGGAACATGAATTGGAAAGTTCTTCTGTCCAAGAGTACCTACAGCATCTTTCACAGAGTGAAATTGTGAACTGTGGGATAGTGGAAAACCTCAGACTTGAAGACATCAAGAAACAAAAACCTGCAGATCCACGAATAACCATGGAGCTCAGACACAAGCAGGTGTGCATGCAAAGCAGCACAGTTAAAAGGAGTAAGACTGAAGATTATAGGATTAGAGTAAATGCTCAGTGACACTTGTTAGGTAGTCTCTCCTAGACCACAAAAATCCCTGTCTTGGAGGCAAATACACTGCAATACTCTTCCAGGATGGAGCTGAAAAGTTACTGTGCTTCAGCTTGCATGTTAGCCATTCACAGTGGCGTTCATGGTCAGCTTTCACTGTTCAGGTGAACTTTCACTATTTCATCTATTCAGGTTTTCCTCCTTCCTGAAGACTGACAGGAGAAGCCAACACAGCTGTCACTTTTGAGTATGCTCCTATCAAGTAATGCTGGTTTAATACCACTCTCTTGAACTGAGTTTTTTGGTGGTCTCAAAACAACCAGTTCAATCACTGCCAGCTACAGACAGGGTTGCATGCTTCTCATCCTGTTAATTCTGAAGCTCAAATTCTTGAGCCCTTCTCACCTGTTTTGATTCTTGCCAATGTCCTCCTCCTCCTCAGGTAAAAGAAAATCGACTGAGGCGTCAGAAGGCATTAGAGCTTCGGAGACAAGAAAAGGCTCTGAGGAAGGCCATTCTGTGCGAGGCCAAGCTTCAAATACAGGAGGAGGACAGAAGGAAGGCCCTGAAGGCAAAGAAGGAGGAGGAGGAGATCCGAAGGGAAATGGTGAAACTACGAAAGGAAATGGCTGAGAAGAGGCAAACTATGGCAGAAGCATGGAGAATGTAAGGGGGGGGAGGGGACATAGAAAGCACCATATGGAAGAGCAACTCTTTTTAGCTTCTTCAGGTAAACGTAAGAGAAGTGGTCCCAAAGGAAACATTTTCGATCGCTCTGTCTTCATACATCCCCAAACCTTTTATTCCTCTGTTACTTCAGTGGCAGAATTTATCATTAGAGAGAAGACAGGCTTAAGATGTTGTTAGACTCCCTCCAGCCATTACCGTTATGTAGACTGAAGCACAAAGCAGGAGTGTGTTTGTAATACCACGCGTTCTCCATCAATTGCACAGCCATAGCCAGCCTTATTAGTCCTTGATACAGCATGAAAGCCAGCATGCTAAAGTAAATGAACGAAATGCTGGCCTACCTAGAATAGTCTATGTTGAAAGCCTATCACTTAATAGACCTTTTCTCCTATAAGAGTATAAATTACGTTCTTGGCTAAGAATTCTGCAGAGAGATGTTCTTTGCTTCAGCTAAGCTTGGATTGCCACAGAGATGTGACCTGCAGAGATGCCACTTATTTACTCAGGCAGCCCTCACATCCTAATTCTTCTCATACAGTTCCATTTTTGAGCTCTTTTTAGTTTCTTCTTCATGTTTTATTTTTGGAAATGCTCCAGACTGCATAATCATTGAGATCCCAAACCTTGACTGGTGCTGTTCTCTATGAAGACTGAGTTAAATA